TGTAGTCTTTGATCTTCATCAGTAAGTGCTTCAAGTCCTCTTCACTTTCAGCAAGCAAGGTTGTGTCATCTGCATATGGTAGGTTGTTAATAAATCTTCCTCCAATCCTGAAGCCACTACTTTCTTCATATAGTCTCTCTTGGGCTATGTACAGGTTCCTCATGAGCACAATTAAGTGTTCTAGAATTCCCATTCTTTACGAATGTTATTCATAACTTGTTATGATCCACACAGCTGAATGTCTTTGCATAGTCAGTAAAGCACAGGTAAACATCTTTCTGGTATTCCCAGCCTTCAGCCAAGATCCATCTGACATCAGCAATGATATCCCTCGTTCCATGTTCTTTTCTGAATCTGGCTTGAATTTCTGGGATTTCTCTGTTGATGTACTACTTCAATAATTTTTCAATGATCTTCAGCAAAATTTCACTTGCATGTGATATTAATGATACTGTTTTGATAATTTCCGCATTCCATTAGATCACCTTTCTTTGGAATGGCCACAAATATGGATCTCTTCCAGTCTGTCTGCCAAGTAGCTGTCTTCCAAATTTCTTGGCATAGATGAGTGAGCATCTCCAGAGCTGCATCCCTTTGCTGAAACATCTCAACTGGTATTCTCTCGATGCCTGGAGCTTTGTTTTTCACCAGTGCTTCCAGTGCAGCTTGGACTTCTTCTTTTCATACATTGGTTCTTGATCATATGCTACCTCCTGAAATGGTTGAATTTTTCAGTACTCCTTCCCATTTACCTTCTGTCTTAGTCATCTAGTGCTACTATAACAGAAATACCACAAGTGGATGGCTTCAACAAAGAGAAGTTTATTGTCTTACAATCCGGTAGGCTACAAGTCCAAATTCAGGGCATCAACTCCAGGAAAAGGATTTCTCTCTCTGTCGACTCTGGAGGAAGGTCCTTTTGATACATCAGTCTTCTCTTGGTCTGGGAGCATCTCAGCGCAGGAACCTCAGGTCCAAAGGACACTCTCTGCTCCTGACACTGCTTTCTTGGTGGTGTGAAGTTCCTGTGTGTCTCTGCTCACTTCTCTCTTTTATATCTCAAAAGAGATTGGATTAAGACACTATCAAATCTTGTACACCTCATCAGTATAACCCCATCATAATGCTACAGTTTACAACACATAAGGAGATCACATATAACCTCATCATAGTGATAGAATTTACAATGCATAAGGAAATCACATCAGACTACACAATCATACAATACTTGGGAATCATGACCTACACATTTTTGGGGGGACATAATTCAATCCATGACATTCCACCCTTTGGCCCCCAAAAAATCACATCCTTGCAACATGGAAAACATATTCATCCCATCATATCGTAGCAAAAGTCTTAAATCAACTCCAAGTCCAAAATCCAGAAATTCCTCTTCATCTGTGAAATTTAGAATACAAGTTATCTGCTTCCAAAGGTACAATGGCAGAACAGGCACAAGCTAGACATTTCCTTTACAAATGGGAGAAACTGGAGGGAAAGAAGGGATAACAGACACTAAGCAAGTCAGCAGAATACATTACATTAGCCCTCAAGGCTTTGCAAATAATCTTCTGTTCTCTGAGACAATTTACGCAATGGCCCTGCCCTCCAGACTCTAGCTATTGGCCACAGTCTCCGGATTCTGAGTGGAGCCCCCTTGGCCCTGGGCTTCAGCTCTGCTTTCCAGGCCCACTGGGACAGAAACTCTGTTCCCTCAGCTTTAGGTGCACCATTCTCCTAGTCCACTGGAGTGACAACTCCACCCTTAGAAACTCCAGAGGCCCTGGCTCCACCCTTTGAAACCCACATCATGGACATATCTTTTGAGACTGAGGCAGCTCTGCTTCTTGTGTTCTTTGTCTTTTCAGCTTCTGCTTCCTGTGGCCTCTCAGCCCTCAGGCCTCATGCCCGCATCTGTCCTGCTGGAGCAGATGTTCTAAAGCCCTGTAGCTCCCCTCATAAGTGCCTGGAGATACCCGACTCCACCAGGAAGGCTCCTGCGCACAGGCACTCAGCTTTCTTGCTCTGTGGGTTGGTTCCAGTGCCATCTCGTGCTGGTCTCCTGGTTCTGCTGCTGCTGGTTCTCTGCTGTTGCCACTTCTCTGCTGTTGCAGGTTCTCTGCTGCTGCTGGTCGTCTGCCACTGCTGCTCCTCTATTCATTCACAGTTTCAAAACTGCTTCCACATTTTAGGTATCTGTTAGAGCAGCACCTCTCTCTTGGTACCAAATTCTGTCTTAGTCATCTAGTGCTACTATAACAGAAATACTACAAGTGGATGGCTTCAACAAAGAGAAGTTTATTCTCTTACAGTCCAGTAGGCTACAAGTCCAAATTTAGGGCGTCAACTCCAGGAGAAGGCTTTCTCTCTCTGTCGACTCTGGAGGAAGATCCTTGTGATACATCAGTCTTCCCTTGGTCTGGGAGCATCTCAGCGCAGGAACCTCAGGTTCAAAGGACACTCTCTTCTCCCGACACTGCTTTCTTGGTGGTGTGAGGTTCCCGTGTGTCTCTGCTCGCTTCTCTCTTTTATATCTCAGAAGAGATGGGATTAAGACACTGTCCAATCTTGTATACCACATCAGTATAAACTCATCATAGTGATAGAGTTTACAACACATAAGGAAATCACGTATAATCTCATCATAGTGATAGAGTTTAAAACACATAAGGAAATCACATAAGATTACACAATCATACAATACTGGGAATCATGACCTACACATTTTTGGGGGGACATAATTCAATCTATGACAACTTCCATATCCAGAAACTTCTGGAAATTGGTCTAAGTGAAAGAAAGGGGCTCTTGACCTGACAATTAAACAGTAATATCTCTACATTCCTCATTTTTGCTCCTGAGCATATTTGGCTGGGGAGCAAGGGACAGAAATCTTTGCACCTCACTGTGCCTTTTATCATCTGTGAATCAGATAATTTTTTAAAACTTTTTCAAAGTTCTTTATATGCAAATTCATTTGCATCTGTGAGGTACACAGGGAAAGTACAGCTAATTCCATTTTTCAGAAAAGGAACCAGCTCAAGGAAGCATAGTATTCGCCCCAGGTACCACTGCCAGTCCCCATTCTCTTGCCAATGCACAGTGACAAAATAAAAATACCTGGAGACTCTGATCATGTCTGGCTTTTTTGCAAGAGATATGGCTCTAAGGTGAATAATAAACATCCCTGTTCTTTTTGACATACTGAGAGTCCCGTTTGTAACAGATAATGCATGTGGATGCTAACTTATTTCATTTCTGCTCAACAAATGCAAAAGCAAACACAAGGAAAGTAGCAATGGGCTATTCACTCAGCAACTTGCCCTGAGAAGTGGGTGGAAGGAAATGAGGAAAAGGGAACTGCAGATAAGACATAAATAAGGAAGAGAAGGAGGAAGAGGATTCAGAGCAATCATCCAGGGTACAAACCCCTGTGTTAAAAGCAGCAATCAAAGGCCCTGTACTTGAGTACCCAGAAACTGACTCCGGGGTGATCTAGACAGAATTGCCTCCTTCAGGAGCTTCTGTAGGAACCAAAATAAATAAATAAATAAATAAAACCAAACCAGTTGCCTTTGAGCCAATTCCAACCCGTGGCGACCCCATGTGTGCAGAGTAGAACTGCGTTCCATACAGTTTTCAAAGTTGTGAACTTTTCGAAGCGGATCACCAGGTCATTCTTCTGAGGTGTCTCTGGGTGTGTTCAAACTGCCAACCTAACTGAGTGCTTACTGGTTTGCACCACCCAGGAGCTCATGAGGAACCAAGTGGAAGCCAAATAACAATGACAATAACTCACTGCATTCAACCTACACATGCAGAGAAGGGTCTAGTGGGTGGCAGGCTGATCTTGCTCAGATTTTCTTAACAAAAAATTTTCTGGGTCTGGCTGTGAACCCCCCTTTTTTGACAGGATTTCCAGGACCACCCCAACAAACCCTTGTGGTCTGGCTTCAGAGCCTCCATACTGCACAGGTGGCTCATTCTCCCACATTCCCTCACCCCCAAACATCCAATCAGTCATTCACTAGGGTTGAGTTCAAAGTACCTCTTAAATATCACTTGAATCTTCCTTACCCCCTTACACTGCCCTAGTTCAAGTCTTTATTTCTTACCTGGACTTGCAGTAATCTTCTAACTATGCTCTCTGCCTCCAGTCTTGCTCTACCAGCTAAAATGAGCATTTGACCATGTCATTCCCTGATTAAAATCTTTCAATGCCTTTCCAAAGAGTAGGAAAATCTTAATGATCTAACTCCTGCCTCTAGTCTTACTTCTGCAAGTCCCAATCACACCTTATGCAGATGTCCTAATTTCCATACCTTTTTACCTACAACATTTCTACCTCATCTTTCAAGACTTATTCTGAGTTTCACCTCCTCCAGGAGGTTCTCCACGCCTCTGTCTCCACTTCTGGTAGTTTCGACACCCCTCCTTCACACTTGAATAACACACTGAGTGTACGTCATGACAGAACATATCACATTTTTTTTAAAACTATCCATTTAATGGCTTCCTATACTTGGACTGAAGCCCTGGTGGCGCAGTGGTTAAGAGCTTAGCTGTTAACCAAAAGGTCAGCAGTTCGAATCCACCAGCTGCTCCTTGGAAACCCTATAAGACAGTTCTACTTTGTCCTATAGGGTCACTGTGAGTCACAATCAACTCGACAGCAATGGGTTCAACAGGTTTACACTTGGACTGTGACCCACTCTGGGCACAAATTAAGTGTCTCTCACACTAGGCATGTTGTCTATCATATCAAAGACCCTCAGTGAACCACAGATCAAAGTAAATACAAGACCTAAGTGAGTAAACAGAACACCGTCCACCAAGACCCTTTTAGTCAAGGCCAGGGCTCTTCCCTCCAGCTTTGTACTAGAGGCGAATGTCTAAGCATTAGCGTTTGCCAAAATGCAGATGAAGAGTCCAGACTGAACTAGAACTTATATACTTTGATGTCAAGAGCTCAGTAAACAATCATAAGGCATAATTACCCTTTTCGTGAGCAGGCCAGGCAATCCCTCTTCAGTAACACACTCCTGTGGAATCTTTAGCATAACAAAGAATGTTCTGTTTGATGATAATTCAAGAATTTTATTGTCATCTTCATCGATATAAGTAGCTAAAGAGCATGGGGGTGGAAATAAAAATTAAGGTAAAGTAAACACACATGTAAAATAATAAACTCATTTATTCTGAAGACTGCTACTCTTAAAAAGAGAGAGACACACTCGTCACAAATACATCCTAGACACCGTAACAAGTATAAACAGAAATGCTTTCTCCTTTCAAGAAAACTGGGCGCAGACAGGGGTTTGCCTCCACCACAATGGAAATTGTGTTTGTTTGTTTGGTTTTATGCTTTAAAAGAGCTGATTCCAATATACACAGGCCCAGTGGAGGGCAGGCAGGAGGGAGCGGGAAGGACATGAACTTCCTTGCTAAACTGAACCTGCAGTTAGGAATGTACGCACAGGTGTCAAAGGCAGATGCTGGGAGACAATATGGAGGTGAACAACGGATGATGGGGGACAAAGTGTGGGAGCAAGTAACTTCATTGTATCACCTTCCAGTTCTGTGCCATCAAAGAACCGTGACAAGGACATGGCATTGTGGAAACTTACAGAGGTGAGACTGTGAGCCAGGTCCTGAAACCTCCTGGGGAGACTGGGCAGGGGTATGAAGTCATTCCTCAGAGTGTGTCCCAGAGGAGAGGGATGTTAACACACTCTGTTTGCAGAAGGGAAACCAGAGACTCAGAGCGCCAGTGGTGCAGGAATTACTTTCTCAGACTACAGGTTCTGTGTTGCTGCTTGTGTTGTAATGACTGTCAGCCAACTGATTTCTAAGAAGGTGGAGCAAAGGGGAAAAACACACCAAGCCAGGAGCCTGGAGCTAGAAGGTGTCAGCCGTGGCACAAGGATGGGGCCCTGGCTCCACACCAGACTCACTGAGCAGAACCAGGTGCTCGTGTGGCCGCAGAACTTTCTCTCAAATCTCATGCTCCAAATATCACAGCAATCAGCCTCTTTTACTGGACTTTTGAAAAGGTCATATAAAAATAAATTTAGTGTGTTTGGTGAGAGGCAAGTGAAAAGAAGTAAGACTCTGGTGCTAATTCCATGAGGAATCTGGAAATGTGAAGGGCATTAGGGGCAAGGGAATGTGCAGAAAAGAGTTAATGTAGAGACCTGAGACTGCTAGCCTTAGAAAGGCCTGCTTGCAAGGGTTGCCTGATGTCTGGGAACTTGGATTTCCAGAAGCTTCCCACCATTCCCTGATAAGAATGATTCACTGTGCCTCACCTGTTTGTACAAACCAAGCGGTTTAGGCTGACTGCCTGCCTTCCTTCTGGGAGTTTGCAGTGTCAGTACACATTAGGCAGAGGCTGCCTCTGTGACCAGCTCCAGTAAAAACCCTGGGCACTGAGTCTCTAATGAGCATTTCACACGTGTGGTCACAACTGGCTGCCAGAAGAATTAAATGCCTCCCGTACGACTCCACTGGGAGAAGACTCTTGGAAGCTTGTGCCTGGTCTCCTCTGGACTTCACCCCACTGCCTTTTCCCTTTGCTGATCTTGCTTTGTATCCTTTTACTGTAATTAATCATAGCCGTGGGTATGACTATATGCTGAGTCTTCTGAGACCTCCTAGGGAATCGTTAAACTGGGGGTGGTCTTGGGGACCTCCAGCACAGAGAATTATCCTGCATCCTCATTTGCTATAAGTCATCACACTATTTTGTCTGATAATAAGAGTTATACCCTCGTTACAGAAAACTTGCAAGTACAGGAAATTGCTGCAAAGCAAAAAAGAAAAAAAACTAACAATCCTTCAGTCGAGAGGTCCCCCCTACATATACACATTTTATATTATATATTTGAGGTCTTAATGATTAGGTAATTTGTACCCAGCTTTTTGTCATTGCTGTTGTTTACTTCTCGTCATTATTTTGTTGTTGTTCTTTAATATATGCAAAGCCGTTCCCCAAGCACTTGAAATGCCTTGCCAAGGTTATTTTAATGGCTACATAATGCTCATAATAGGCTCACCCATTTTCCTAAACCCGACAGTTAGTGCTGTCAGTTTTCCACTGTTTTGAATAATGCTGCAACAGACATCTTTGTGCCCTGCACCCCCCACCACAGATTACCATAACAACATCAAGGCTTCAGGAAGGAACAGAGACTCAGAGGCTACATAAGGGATTCAAATAACTGCTAACATCCAGGGCGCCAAAAAGAGATGCCAAGTTTGAAAAGAGACTGGCCTGTACTTAGTTGGTATTATCCAAATAATGAATCTGCGCAAAGACCTAGCAACTAGTTGCGTTTATTAAAATAGTAACAGCAACACCAATAATAGGCTTTGTCAGTCAGGAGCATTTTTATTTCACTAATGAGAATTAATCTGGGCAGCACTTTGCATGTAGAAAAAATATGTTCTAAAAAAAAAAAACTCGCAAAATCATACAAGGTACATTGGAGGTGAATGAAAACAGCTCTTTGGCTGGAGTATAAGAAGTAAGGCTGGAGAGGGAGCCTTAAATACAAACTGTTGTTCAGCAAGTGACAGAGAGTGGCGCTGATGGGAGGTTAACCTAGTAGTGATGTATGTATGGGATGCAATGGAACTGAGAGAGACTGGAGGCAGAGAGGCCATTAGGCGTAAGATTATGAAAGACCAATGTTTACTGACAGCAGTAGGAACAGGGAGGAAGGGGTGAATAAGAAAGCTCAGGAAAGTGGAAACAAACTTGGCTTTAAAGTTAGCCAGAACTAGTTGGAACCCAAGCTCCACTATTTATTGTAGGTGATGGTAAGGATGAGAAGCAACATATATAACATACTCATCATATGCCTTGCCCAAAGTAGGTACTCAGTGATGAAAATTGTTATTAAGACACTACCAAGGAATGACTGACAAGATTTGGTGATTACCTAGATAGGGTAGAGAAGAAGAAATCAGGCCTGGGTAACAGGAAGAATAATAGAGACTGTATGAAGCATTATGCACAGGCACTCTGCCAAGCACTTTGTAGACACTATCTCATGTAATTCAAATCAATCTTATGAGTTAAATATTACTTTAAAATGAAGACACTGAGACTTAGAGAAAATTCAGGTCTACAAGCTAATAAGCAGCTCTACATTTGCAGACTCAGAATCAGAAATCATTTACATTTTACAAATGTGGAAACTGAGGCCCAGAGGGCAGGGGAGTCTGCCTCCAGTTACACAACTGGACGGTGGCAGAGCTGAAATGAACCTCCTCGGTCTCATGAGTCACTTGAAACTCTGAAGGGCGAGATAACTGAAGAAGGGGATATAAATGAATAGTAGTTCTATATGGATAATGTTTGAGATAATATTTATTTCCAGATAGAAATCTCTTGAAAAGAGCACAACTAAAATTCAGGAAAAGTGTGCAGATGCAGATCTAGGAGTCGTCTCCTAGAGGAAACAGCTGCTGCCTGGGAGTGAATGAGCGCTCCAAGAGAAAGAGTGAAGAATGAGAAAAGTAAGAAGGCTGAGGATAAGCTGAGGCACCCACATTGTGAATGAGAAGGCAGAAACAGCAAAAGAGACTGGAGGTATAGGAGTTCCATAGACCCAGAAGAGTACAATGCAGTTGAAGTGAAGAGTGCAAATAAGACAGGGAAGGGGAGAAATGCCATTGGATTTCATGATCAGGCAATTGCTGGTGACCTTGGGAAGAATGGTTAATGCACTCGGCTGATAATCAAAAGGTTAGCAGTTCAAATCCACCCAGAGATGCCTTGGAAGAAAGGCCTAGTGATCTACTTCTGAAAAATTAGCAGCCACTGAAAACCCTATAGAGCACAGTTTTACTCTGACACGTGCATTCGCCATGCCTTGGAATCAACTGGATGGCAACCGAAGAAAAATTTGGGACTAAAGGATACAGGCGGTTTAGAATGAGCAGGAGGCACAATCCAAATGCAGACCTTTCTTTCAAGTAATTTGCCAGTGAAAGAAGAGAGAGAGAGAAATATCTAAATGAAATAGCTAGTAATTCTGACTAAAGCTTGTTTTAAAGAGAGAAGAGGTGAGCGATTTAAAGAATCCTGAGTAGAGAAGAGGCTGAGGAGAGGTGGAGACAACTGAAGGTTCACAGAAGAAGCTGGAGGGGGGCCTATAGAGAGCAAAGGTGAATAGGCCAGGCTTCATAAGTTGGATAAACATCTGAGACTTGAAGGAGAGAGAAACAGAAAGGGGACTATGCAAAGAAATGTCAAGGTACTGGGACTAAAGAAGGTCCTTGAGTGGCGGAAATGGTTTGCACTCAACTATTAACCTAAAAGAAGCCCTGGTGCAGGGGTTAAGAGCTACAGCTGCTAACAAAAAGGTTGGCAGTTCAAATCTACCAGCCGCTCCTTCGAAACCTTATGGGGCAGTTCTACTCTGTCCTATAGGGTCGCTATGCATCGGAATAGACTTGACGGCAACGGTTTTTTTTTTTTTTTTTGGTAATTACCTAAAGGTTGGCAGTTCGAACCCACCCAGTCACACCATAGAAGAAAGTCCTGGTGATTTGCTTCTATAAAATATGGCAGCCAACTAGAGGACTCCCCAAAACTATTGCCCTGAGATACTTTTCAAATGTAGAACCAAAACCAACTCCTGAGGTTATCTTGTAGCTAAATAACAAATTGGCTCAAAAAATAATGAATATCACTCAAAAGTATTGTGATCCCTTAAAAAAATCACCAATATGAGACCAAATGGTCAAGGATTACTTTAAAATAAAGATATAATTGTGGAGGTGGGGCCAAGATCGTGAAGAAGTCAGATGCTTCCGGTGGTCCCTCTTAACAACAAGGACCTCCAAAAATAAGTGAATAGATTATATATGACAGTCTAGAAGCCCTGAACATCAAAGGCAAAGCTGAGGAATCAGAGTGGCAGGGGAAGGGAGAGACAGTTCAGAAGCAGCAAGGAGTGGCCAGACCTGACCCAGCAGGAGCAGGAGCCCTTCAGGCCAGATCAGCTCGTGGTGTGCAATGAGGCAAGCAGCAGAGCTCAGGAGGTGTTTTCCACATCCAGAGAGACCCAGCAACAGAAAGTCTACTCGGCCATCCAGAACCAGTGAGAAGCAGCC